GTTCCACTTCGCCTCTCTATACTCAGTTTCAATCGCCATATTACCTCCTTATTGAGCCCGAATTTCGCATTTGAAGTTGCCAAGAGGTAAGAGAAGCTTCGTGCTTACACGTTCACCGATCCAATCCTGTGGATCGCATTTGCAGTCGCAACTCCCGTCTTCGTAATGACCTTGCCCATGACTACTGCAGTAATCCTCCTCACAGCTTCGCTCTTCCTCCGTGATATGGCAGAATTCGCCAATAAAACCGTCCGGGCAGATACATCTGAATGTACCATGAACAGTGACACTGTCTGAATTTGTTCTAAAACATGAAAAAGGAGGGTTATTTTGGAGAAACCCACTGGTATTGTATGGTAATCAAGAATTTGCTTGCAATGTCACTCGCTGACTGGTTATTCTTTTTCCTGTATTCGCGTAATTGTATTGGATCCACAAACGTTTGACTTGTCTCCATGCTAAAAAGCGTTTTTGTAGCAGGCAGTCACCAGTGGGTGTCAAGCTCTGTACAAGTGAGCTGATTTGTCTCGCCATTAATGCTCTAAGTAAGATCTAGTTATGTGGTGTTAAAATTTTGAACAGACAGAAGCAGGGTAAAGTATGACAATTTCTTATAGAGGATGTAGCACGTGAGTATTTGGCTTGTGACAAAACTCTTGCACACCCACTGACAACCACCGTTTTGCGGGTATTGACGAGACTTTTTTTTTTACATATTTTCCATGGCCTTTGACCCTCAAATAGTTTCGTTGTCGGTAGTAAGTATATTTTTCTGACCCAGCAATGTACATATGCTGAAGGTTTTGACATGTGAAAAGCGCCAAATAAATTGAGCAGAACGAGTCTCTCTCCGTGCGAAGGATATATGGCCTGCCGGCGTTCCACGAAGTCATCGAAGGTCGTTCACGGCGGAATCATTTAATTTCATGTAGTCCAGGAATCACTGGCTCAAGACCCATCCGTCACTATAAGAACGTAAAAAGCAAGAAAATCAAAAAAAAAACGACTTTGTTCGGTGTCCCTGATGGTGCTTCTTCCCGAAGTTCTACACCAGTGTCTTTGAGGCGTAATCGTAGGATCATGAACATTCGAACTAGGCATACGAGAGATGAAATCTGACCGATATTTGCTTTCGCGCTAAGGTTGAAAGCGCTTCTCTTGCACATTTCATTCTAGTATTGCTTATAAGCATGCGGATGAAGGCTAACGAACCAGAACGCAAACCTCCTCCAAGCTGGGTCTAAAACTCTATTGCGTCTTTTGGGCTCCTTTTTTTGATTTCCTCGATGGCTTTGATTGCCGCTTCCTTATACCTCTAATCTCTTCCATATTGTCACTGAATGGCGGCTACGCCTCTTTACCCTTTCTCAAAATGTACGTTGCTTAATTTTACCCTTTCACTTTATTAGGTTGCCTCATGGGTAGGGTCGTTTTTTTTCAAACAACTTTATTTCTAGAGCCCAATATTTCCACGAAAATTCATACACCATTCGGAAGGGATCGGTCTTCTCTACGATAGTGTGTGTTTCCGTTTCACGTTCTTTGGAAACACCTTAAATATTAAACATTGGATATGAATCTTCCACGAAAACATGGCGCAAGTTTTCGATTTCAACGAGGGTCTCGACATATGTGGGATATTGCGACATTGTCTAACGCTTCTGAAAGGGGTCTTGCATAGTCAGAACTGTTCCTAGAAAAATATTCACAAGGAAATCGATTCGAGAACTTGCATAGTAGCTTCGGGTTCAAGCAATTACGGTAGGCTACCCGAGGTCGACGGCGATCGCAGATGACGTCATATTCTGAAGACGGTGAAGGCAGGGAAGAAGGGTGTGCTTCTGCTTAAGGAGAGACATGCTAGAAATATTTTACCGTAAGGCTTTCATCAGTTTCTGCAATATATGCGGCTGAAAAATCGCTGATGGACGACATAACCAAAATCCCTTTCTTATGCCCCCACCCCCCATGTTTCTTATTTTTTGAAAATGTTATTAGACCAGGTTTGCTCCGCCCGCTATCGCGCGCATCACAGGGTAGGGAGGAACCACGGAATAGCAGCATGACGTACTCCATTAACCACCTCACTATTGAATGTGTTATACCTCCTTATACCCCTTCTCTCCGGCGCATGGCAGCACCATGTTCTCCCTCCCTTTCTCCTCTCCCCCCCTTCCCTCCCCTCTCTCCCCCTCCCTTCTGCTTTCCCCCTCCCCTCTACCGCCCGCCGACTCCGGCTGCCCCGGCAGCACCATGTAGAATGAGGCTGAGTGTGCTCGTTCGGTGTTTTTGTAGCCATTGTGGGTGTTATCACAATCACCACATCAGGTTAGAATAATACGTCAACATGAATATAGACCTTACTCTTAAAAACGGTCGTTCTCTCTCAGTCTCTCCTCCCCCACCTCCCCCTCCTTATACCCTCCTCTCCGGCGCATGACAGCGCCATGTCTCCCTCCCTTTCTCCTCTCCCCCTTCCCTCCCTCTTTCTCTCTCCCTCCTCCCTTCCAGCCTTCGTATACTTGTATGCTAAGATAAAACTTTAACCGAAAGAGTGTTCATGGAGTGTGTTATTGGCGATGGAAAGAGACGCAGCGTCATCAACCCCCAGTTTGATTATCCATGGAGAAATATTTTGATAATTCTTGAGCTTGAACTGTGGTATTCAGTATAGTCTCGCAGATTCGTCCCCCCCCCACACAACAAGGGGGCCTTTCGGTAGACACTGGTATCTTCTCCTTCCTATTTATCAGAGACAAGGTTGGTCCCTGGCAACCGCGGGACCCTCCCTTCCCTGCGAAACTGGCGATCCACCTCCTCGCCTTATCCTCCCCTTCTCTCTTCTCTCTCCAGCTGCCGCTACAGAACCTTGTGAAATGATTGAAAGTGTACTAAGTCAGGGGGTTTACAGGGGGGGGGGGGGGCAAAAAAAAAAGACATTTTGCCTATGTCGGACTTCGGCTCTTTTTTCTTCGCAGAGATTGCTGTCGTTGACGGGAGTTCCTCAGCAGAGTATTCCCTAAGTGTTCCTCTATTAGTGTACGCAGGCTCTCCTTCACTGCCCTCACCGTCTTCAGAATATGACGTCATCTGTCACCGTCGTCAGGCTCAAGGAGGTCTACCGTAAGAGCTTCAGCCTGAAGCTCTTACGCAATTTCGTGAATCGATTTAATGTTGGATAGTTTTCTAGAGGCATTAGCTACCACTGTGCAAATCCCCTCGGAACTAGCTTTCCAGTAAGGGTCGTTATGGTACACGATCCTTCGAAGACCCCATTGAGATCGACCAGTGCACCATGTTTCCAGGGCTAATTCTTCTGATGCCGTCCACGTACGTGGCCACTATGAAGATTTTCTTATAGAATGGAATGCACTCTTTAATAATAAGTTGGAACCGTTCGGTCTGAGTTGAGTAAAATGTGCTTAAATCCATCTGGAAGTGGAGGCGGCTACCAAAATGTGTCTTTTTTTTGGGGTTCCTCCCGTGTATATAGCTGTTCAAGTATTAGGGTGGTAAAAAAGTCCTGAGCCGTTTGACACTTTTTTGTTCTTTGCTTTTTTTATTCCGCGTACAATGGAATCTACTAAACAATATAATCACTACATTGTTACTCACTACAGAGTCCCACCTAATGGGTAGGTCAGCGACCCCTTCTCTCCCAGAACTGAGCAGATTGGATGAGTCGAATATACGTCGACCACTCCTTTCAACGTTCTTTCAATTTTTTTGTGCTTTGGTGAATTTTTTCTTCGCTAGGAATGCCTTAAGGGGATGAAGTAAGTGATAATCAGAGAGGGCAATGTCAGGGGAATAGGGTGGGTGGGGAACCGCGTCCCAGATCAGCTCTTCCAATTTTGCACGGGTCTCTTTAGCTATGTGGGGCCTGGCGTCATCGTGGAGTAGGTGGACAGAAGTTCGTCTCGGTCGTTTTTCTTGAACAGCGTCCGCTAGTTTCTGGAGCTGACTGGCGTAAATGCTGCCGGTAGCGGTATGTCTTTGCGGGAGCATATCTCATAATACAACATTCCTCACGAATCGCAGAGGTAGCAAAGAAGAAAGAAACTTTTGGGGTGAAGGTCCGATTTTGCTTGCGTCGGCGGGTCATATCCTCGAGGCACAGTGCTTGTTAGAATCGTAGAGGACCCCACCCTCACCTTACGTTATCAAGCCCTCCAGAAGCGCCTTCGAGAAAGGAAGAAGGAGAAACTGACAAATGGGTACCCGCCTGAACCGCGTGCTATCGGTCAAGACATGAGGATCCATCGAGTCAGCACTTTCCTGTGGCGAGGGCGTGGAGGGGACCGAGGACTGTGGGATGGGTGCACCCGAGTCTTATCACAAGGCTGCGGGTGCTAACCTCCGGATCCTCTTCGACAGCGCCGAGAACGGTGGAGTCTTCCACTGTTTGGGGGCTTCCCAACCTTGTCTTGCTTCGGAAGCCGTGTCTCCTCCTTCGAAGCCTGCGAACCAGAGCTTGGCACCGATGATGGAAGTGGTGTCCCTTCCCAATGCGATGCTGATAATGTTGACGGTTTCCACTGCTCCTGTGCCGCAGCGCCATTCATTGAAGATGATCGCTCGAAAGTGCTCTTGTGGAATCGACATCATGATTAAAGTTAAAGAAGGCAACCCGGCTATATATACCTACTGCGGAGAAGTATGATCGACAGCGATAATCTATCACGTAGCAGATTCTAGGTATCGATCAATAAGCGAAAGTTCTGGAGCTTTCGAAAAATCGGCTCAGGACTTTCTTACCATCCCAAGTATTATCACTCACGTTGCTTATAATAAGCTCAACTCGACGAAACGTAACCTTGGAAGCGGTGCACTCCCTCTCCCTTCCTCCCATCCCTGCCCATTCCCCTTCCTTCCCTCCCTCTGCTCTTATTCTTTCCTTCCCTTTCTGCCCTCCCCTTCAGCTGCCACTGCAGCACCATGTAAAATGAGGCTGAGCTTACTCGATCGGTGTTTATATACCCGCTGTGGGTTTATCATGATCATGAAGTCAACATCACGAGGTGTAGCCCTTCGTACTCCCTGGTTTTGTTAGCGGTTGGTCCGGACGGACAGAACGACACACACCGACAAACCGACACACCAAAGTTGTGGTTTATATAATGAAGTGATTCTGAAAGGTCGTGGTACTCCATGATTCCAATCATATTCTCTGCTTCTGAAACAAGGAAATTTTCCTTAAAAGCAAATTTTCCCAGGTTGAAAGTGAATAAAAAAAAAAAAAAAAAAATAAATAAAAAAAAAAGTGAATAAACTTCTTGTTTTCACGTTTTTTGTTTTTATGCTTTCAAGTGAAGAAAGAACTCCTCATCTACCGGTTCTGTGTTGCAATTTATTACCCTTATGTATTTGATATTTGTATTTGATATGGATTACCAAAATTTTTTAGACTTTGGAAGACCTCGAAGTTTTATTTGAGGAATGAAAATGAAATGGGAATAAGTTGGAGTCTTTAATAATTTTCATCATGATTATGTCGGTCCTAAATTATACGTAAGGAATTCGTTCCGTGCGCCGAAACAGAAACCTCCTTAATGGAAGAAGCCGGTTGCGCGACCACCTAGCCAACAGCGCAGTTCGTGCTAATGACTTCACAAAAGATGCCCATTGTTCACTCACCTTTGTTTCTTGACATTTCCCACTTAATGTTTGAACTTCATTATAACCCTAAGTTCGCATACTAACACATTACAACACGAACAAAATTGCCTTCGTACTGCAAAGAGATTTGGCAGTTGGTCAAGTAGGGGCAGTTTCGGCTCACGACGTTTCGTTGATTTTCTGTGGTTCCAAGATAAGTGAGAAATAAGAGTTAGTGGTGCTTATATGGTTTAAGGAGGGGAGACATTCAACTGAGTGAGCCAAATACTGTGTCCTGGGACCATGCTTCCGGGAGATGAAGGGATTCTAAGGGGAGGGGGATGTGAGCATTTAGTTCTCCCTGGGAGTACTCCTACTATCACTTACCGTTGGCCCCGACTTGAATGTCTCGCCTACGACATGAGCGCTGAGCTAGTAACAATTGGCAGGCATTATATTCGTTGGTGCTCAGAACTTGATATTGTCAACAATTGGGGACTTCCACTCTCTGTCAGCCGTATCCAGAACCCCCGAACTACATACCAAAGAACACACTTGAAAATAAGTTTCAAGGTAGATGATTTTGTGCAAGGCAAGCAATTGATGAAGGAGCTGCGCAGCTTCGCTTCATGTCGAGGAAAATAGGGGGGAAATGAGATATCACTGCTGCATCTTCCAGGATATCGACGACTGAACGTGGTCGATCAATTAACCTCTCAAATGATCAGTGGACCGACGAGGGTTGGCGACAAGATTTCTTGGAGAATCAAATGAACAAAAGGACGATCAGACGATCAGTGGTGTGCTGGCCGATCTCTTCGATAAAAGCCTCACACGAAACATGATGTTATTCACCTCTGAGCATCTCATCAGCAATCCAGAAAACAGTTCACCTGTGCCTTTCGGCTTTTTTCCATGGAGCACTTTACCAGCCAGGGGAGCAGCGAGTAGCGTGCAAATCAGCAGCATAACTAAGCTTGGCTGCAGATTATCAGCCACTATCAATAAGATAGCAAGCTCGAGCTCAATGACGTGGTTTTCGTGGCAACTGGTGGATGTAAAGTGGAATATGAACGATAGTTAGAGAACCCATGCTTGCAAAGTTATATGGTGACTCTAAAAGGACCTCTTCATCTGCTTTACAAGTAAGATGTTGTCGCGGTTTTGAAATTCCATCGTGTCGAATCGCGCCTTCTGCCAGAACGACATGTGGTTCACCCGAAGCGAAGCATTGAATGCATTGAACTTTATTACTGATAGATAATCTTGATCGCTTAACGGCGAGTTCCGTCCTCGAAGAAAACACCTCCGTCGAGAGCGCAGTACTTGGGGCAGATTCCACGCTCTCCAGGTGTTCCTGGGAGTCCTCTGTCTCCAGGTGTGCCCGGGTTTCCAGGAGGACCGGGTTGACCGTTGCCTCCAGGTGGTCCCTTTGGTCCAGGTTGTCCTGCAAATGTGATGAAATTTCTTTGAGCAAAATAAAAACCAACTAGTAGGTCTCTCGAAAGCGTTCAAAACTTACCAGGTGCTCCTGCGTTTCCGGGCTGTCCATTGGGTCCAGGTGGACCACGAGGTCCAGGTGGTCCAGGCAGGTCCTGGTGCTCCGGGAGTAGGAGGAACAGATGTGGCTGGGTTTCCAGGCTGTCCTGGGGCTCCTGGGCTTCCGGGGTTTCCGCTGGGTCCTGGTGGTCCCTTGGGTCCAGGTGTACCTGGGCCTCCTGGAGCTCCGGGTCCTCCTGGATTTCCGTCACGTCCAGCATCTCCAGGCTGTCCAGGTGCTCCTGGTGGTCCAGGGTGGTCCAGCTGGGCAAGGGTTGCATGGAGCAGGGGTGTACTGTGGGCATGGCTGAGTTGGTGGTCTTCCTGGGTTTCCTGGAGTTCCGCGAGCTCCAGGGTTTCCTGGTCGTCCTGCGTTTCCTGGAGCTCCGGCCGGACCAGCACCTCCACCAGAGCAACAAGCAGTGCAATCGTTGTAAGCCTGACGGGCGGTACGGTTGCTTGGTGCCTTCATGGTGCTCACCTCAGACCAGATATCACGAGCAGAAGTCTGAAATCTGATTGTTTTTTTCTGGACTCAAGTTGAGAGCGTCAAGGAAAACTTACACGACAGTAGTTGAGTTCCGAGTACATTGTGCGTTGCACATGGTGCACATAATTGTACACCATGGGCAGAGTGGTGGCGGCTCCAAGGATGGCGACCACCGAGAAGGCGACGGCCGAGTAGGCCACAAAGCGGTAGGCTTTGCATCGCTGCTGGTACTCAACGTCCATGTCGTCTGTCGATGTTCATTAGCGCTATGCGGTCGCTTTTATACGCGAGGTAATTCTGTGTTAACCTTGCCTCGTTATTTTCAGTTTTCTGCTGCGTCACAAGTGTTACACATTATTTTCGCAAGGCGAAAACATCTATTGCGGAGAGCCATTTCGGTTCAAACGTGAGACGATGGAGAGACGATGATCATTCTATCATCCCTGTGCGAAAGTTTACTTCCTTAATTAGATTACGGCATCTGACCGCAGCGATTTGTTGTCGTGATCGTATCTAGCACGGAATCGCTTCGCATCGTTCATCTAATGAGCACAGATACGGTTATCCCATTGACCATGAACTCTGAATTAAGCAGCTGAGATCACTGTATAAGTGAAGGGTCAACGACATTGTTCGCGCAATGCGTAGAGAATAAGTCGTTCGCCATCTTGGATCTGACGCAGATCCCAAACTTATTATTTTACCAGCCCTGAACAAGCTTGATTGGCAGCAATATCTTTTCTCATTTGTATCACGATTGTCGAACACTTGCTCAATTCGCATTCGTAATACCAAGTTACGATTGCAAGGAAGTGCTTTAAGTACATTTCCCAAGGGGTTAATAGTCTCTACGCCATTCTAAGCCCCTAGACTATCATATTTGGAGCACCACGCTGGCGGAAGAGGGAATACGGCGCTGCTGCACGTAGGCTTAATGCACAACCCTTTAAGCCTTAACGGTGGCTATTGCCACCATCAGACATCAAATTCAGGGGTCTGCATTACTGAAGCAATAGCACATTTCTACTAGAGATCGCTTCGCTCGACGACCTTTTCCTTACAGATTTGTTTTGCACTGCCGTTCTTCTACGTGTTTCTGTTAGCATTACAAGCAATTGTGTATACAGGGGTGGCCAAAAAGAGACAATTTGCTCAAGAATTATACCAGCAAGCTTTAACTCGCAAAGGCTGCCGCGGCCGATGGAAGCATTCCGGTGAAATATTGCAGAGTCCTTCCATACGTAGATGCAGCCCTTGTTCACTGCCCTCGTTGTCATAATATGATGTTGTCTGCAATCGCTGCCGAACTCAAGGAGGTCGTCCGTGAGTACTCCGGCTTGGAGCAGCTACATGATTACTTTGCTTGGTTAGCTATTTGGTATCTTTTTAGAGGTAGTGGCTCTGTTGACTCAAGGCTCCATAGACCATTATTTCGAATAACGTCGTAATGGTTCATGATCTAACAAGAATGCTGGGTTGTGAACAAAACTTTCGCCCCAGGCGGGACTCGAACCCGCACCTCTCGCTTTCCGGGCAAGTGCGCTACCAGTTACGCTACCGGGGCACCATTTCATTCCAACTCAGCTTTTCATGGTATACGTACCATAGCTTTCAGCACTCACACGTATAACGTGTTGAGCCGGTTAGCCGATATCGGCAATGACCGCGAGGCTGAAAGCTTTAGCAGTGGATTCGAACTATTCAACGTTAGGTTGGAAAGAAAGTCCTGCAACACTTTTTCAAATTTTTGATTTTAATTTTATCTTTTTTGGTTACAACTCCTGACCGGTCTTATATCTACCATGAGTGTCCACCACTTGTCAACGCTCAGAAAATTTCTTGATGCTCCTTTGCCAAAACCCAGCGGAGTGCGGGTCGAGAAAGGAGGCGACCTCACTTTCGAGTTGGAGTTGATCGTCTAATTATTTCGTTATCAAGATGATGATTTAAGGTCCAGGATAGGTGGCAGTCATTTACAGCTCGACCAGGGGAATACGCTAAGAGAGGTAAGAAATCTTGCCGCAACTCCAGAATTTCTTACCGGGCTCATTTCGGATCATGGTGATTCGCAATGTCATGAAAGAAATGAATATTGTCGCGGTACGAGGGCTCTTGACGAGCTGCCTCGGCCAGCTTCTGGAGTTCCGCAGCCTAGGCCTCTACCTACACAATGGTGCCCATAACGAAGAATTGTAGTGGAGCTTCCGTAAGAGCCCTACCTGTAATGGAGTGTGAGGGACGCTGCTGGCTTCTTATAAAAATATCAAAAGATCGAAGCGCTGGTAAAGGTGAAACACGCTGTAGCGGTGAACGGCATGCCTATTGAAGCTATTGCAGATAGTGTCGGTCGTTGACACGAATCCATAGTTGGAGACATTTGTACTAGACAGTGACTCGGAGTATGGGATTTACTAGTGGTCGAGGTTTTTCTTGGATAACTACTGACTGCAGCACTTATATCCACCTCGTGGATTGAAGCCTCGAGAATGCTCTACCATTTGTTAGTCATAAATGTTACCTATGAATTTTTCAGAAAAAAAATTTTAGAAAGAGTGTTGCAGAACTTTCTTTCCACGTAATATATAGCTTGTCAGCACTCACACGTATAACGCGCTCAGCCGGTTAGCCGCAGTGAGCCTTATGAGACATTCGCAAGGCGAACTGCCGCCAAAAACAGCAGGTAACAAACTGAAACAAGTCAAAGGTTCATGAACCGTCAAAAAACGCATCGAGCTTGCACCGTGCGCAACGTTTCAATGGCAGATTCTTTTAACCCTTTGACGACCGTATAGCCCGCCGGCGGGCCACACCAAATCGGTCGTGTGGGACCGTATGGCCCGCCGGCGGGCCACACCAAGTCGGTCGTGTGGGACCGTATGGCCCGCCGGCGGGCCATGGCAACCGATTTCTTGTATTTCCTCCGTTTTGACATTTTTGAAATTCTCAATGACTAAATATGTACACATTGCCCTAACAACGCTATGTACACAGTGGTCCACTGATTGCTTTCTTCTAAGGAGAAACCCTAAGACAATAGTAACAAACACACTTCTATTGCTAATATCAGCAAAAATAGCATCATTACCAAGAATAAGAACGCAACGCATGTGGTAGTTTTTGAAAAATCGGAGCAGTAGTCCTTGTGCCAATTTTTACCACACTACTAATATTCCTTGCATGATTGAGTCGATAGGACCTATTCGTTGCGGGCTGCACGACAACTGTTTGGTCTTGTGAAAAATATTGTCAAGTAGGTTTAATACAAATAAAGGTGTAAGTAAAAGTTGGAGGTCTACCAGGTGCAGCAGGCGGCTGCCTTCAAAAACCCTAACCATACCCAAGGTTCCCATCGAAGTAAATTGGAATGTGGCGTGTGGTAGTAACCGTCTAGTGAATAAGTTTTTATTATCGACACCATACTAGCTAAAGAAAGAAGCTGGAAGAAGCATTTGTATTAAAATCTAGTCGATTTTTTGAATGCAAGTTTTGTGCAAGAAAACAGATTGATTTTAGTGACTGCTACTTCAACAGTACCATCAAAACACTATAAGTCTTCTTCATTACTTCGCTGATAGTCTGTCTGCGTTAGAATGTATGGTTGATTAGTAAGATGATTTACTGTAGAAAGTTTGCAGTTTAGTCAATGTTGCTATAATTAAGCAAAAATGCGGTCTCCTGGGACCGTATGGCCCGCCGGCGGGCCACATGCGTGTCTGGCGTGCGGTCCCACACGCTAGACACGTTTAGAGCGCGCGGTCGTCAAAGGGTTAATGCTGCCGATGTAGAAGGCAATTATGACAACTGCTGATCGGATGGAATGTGCTCTTCAATACTCATTTTTGAGCATTTGGTTAGGATGTAGCAAAGTGTGACAACTGCTGTTTTGAACATGGAGCGAAGTGTCGTTTTTTGGCCCCTCTTGTATTTGCGAAAACGAAACGGCTGGTCTACGCAACCTGCTCAGTAAGTGTCAATTATTTTCAATATATTTGAAATATATTCAAATTGCTATAAAAACAGTGTGCAAGACCACAAACTTTTGCAACATAACTAGGGAATAAGAATTTTTTCCAAAATAAGCCAAAAAACTGGGAAGCTGTGGCAATTTTCACGGCTTGCTATTCTTAGCTTGTGGTCGAGAAGATTCCAAACTACATGTCAGTGTTTTTTATGTTTATGTAGGTTGAGCAATAATTATCTGCCCTTTTTCTTCAGGCTGATGGTTCTTCGATTTTTGCTGACTATCTTCAAACGTTACGATGTAGTCTGAAAGCGCTATTTGATGCGTAACACTTGTGTATTTACTTCACTATGGAGCTTACACACTAACAAAAAGTTGCCGCATGAGTGCAAGTTGAGCTCGAAACCGAATGCTTCTGCATCTGCTCGTAGAATCAATGAAGCCTGGGATGAAGGCACGGTTGCAGAGAGGACTGTTCGAGAGCGTTTGTTGATTACGCATTTATTGTTGTTTTTGTTTGGTTTTGTTGAATAAACTTATGAGTGAATGAAAACGACGGATAATTTTGCTCAACCTCATACTTACAAGTAAAACAAGAAGAAGCGAAATATTTCTAGAGGAATAAAATTTCAAGGCTGAAAGGTTAAAGCGAGATTAAGCTGGTGGCTGACAAGAATAGCTCGCCGACTTCTCGAAATAGGCTTAACCCCCAAAATCACAAATTGCGATATCAATTCAGCATCGGTGCATTCCACTGCTCGATGTTTGTTCAGAGCATACATTTTCATCAGATCGCATTAGTGTTGTCACTTCATGAACACAACCCTTCACAGGTTTCTGCCAGATACAAGAGTTTAGCTTTTTTCTATAAGGAGTTCAGTCACCGTGGCGTGAAATTTGTGACGACGACTGAGCTAATTCTGTATAGGAACGTAAAAATATTTGTGCACGTTAGCGTCTCGTGGAGCAGCAAATGATAAGGTGACTCCTTTCATCTGATTGACGAGGTTGTGCACCATCAATCGCAACGACATAGAGAACCCGGAGCGATCTTTTAGATGTGTTTTCAATAAACCTATGTACGGTGTTGGGGCGCACCTTCCCTCGCTAACTCTACTGATTTTGTCTCTACTCAAGTGAGAAGAGATTCCAAAAATATAGTGAAATTAAACTCCATGGTCTCTTTCACTGAGGGCCGTCTATCACTGAAAGATCTCTAGCCTCTCTAGCCGGTTAATCGAACCAAAACCTACCATGTACTTGAAGCAGGTCATCTCAGAG